GTACGTACGTCCGTCCGTCCGTCCGTCTGTCCGTCCGTCCGCAATAACTCAAATACCGTTGGCCCGATTTTGTTCATATTTTGTACAAATATACCCAATGGGGGTAGAAGTTCTGCTCGAAAACCGATTTTCAAAATGGCCGCTCATTTAAAAATGGCGGCCATTTTAGTGCCGATTTTACAGTAATTTAGGTACTGCTTATAAAACTGTAATAGCAATATGTTTTAAATGTAAAAAAGTTATATAGGACATTGATTAAGCTAGAAATGTAAATATAGAAGAAATACATGGCAGCCATCTTGAAAAATGGCTGCCTTTGCACGTCATTTTTCGATTTTTGCTGTAATTTGAAAAGTAGTGGAGCGATTTTGTTCATATTTGGTATGTGAATACTTTAAGCATGGCACAATGTCTAATGACATTTTTGGTAGTGTGTTACGTGTGTTATCTAACATTTTTTACTGTAAGTCAAGAAGTAGTGGAGCGATTTTGTTCATATTTGGTATGTCAATGCTTTAAGCATGGGACAATGTCTAATGACATTTTGGGTAGTAGGTGGCCATTTTGAAAAATGGCTGCCATTTTTATGTGTGTTATTTTACATTTTTTACTATAACTCAAAAAGTAGCAGAGCGATTTTGTTGATATTTTATATGTGAATACTATAAGCATGGCACACTGTCTAATGACACTTTGGGTAGTAGGCGGCCAAAATGGCTACCATTTTTACGTTTTTTACTATAACTTGAAAAGTATTGGAGCGATTTTGTTCATATTTGATATGTGAATACTCATGAGCCTAGCACACTGTCTCATGACACTTCACCAAGTTGGCGGCCATTTTAAAAAATGGCTGTCATTTTTTTTTTTTTTACTATAACTCGAAAAATATTCGAGCGATTTTGCTCATATTTGATATGTGAATACTTTAAGCATGGCACATTGTCTAATTAAACTTTGGGGAGTAGTCGACCATTTTGAAAAATGGCCATCATTTTTATGTGTGTTATTTTACATTATTATTATAACTCATAAAGTAATAGAGCGATTTTGTTCATATTTGATATGCGAATACTCGTAAGGATTGCATACTGTCTTATGACATTTTGAGTAGTAAGCGACCATTTTAAAAAATGGCCAGCATTGGCAATCTTTTAAGAATTTTATATGTGGCTACTTAAAAGCATATTACTTCTGATGACAACTTGGCTAGTGATCAACCATTTTGAAAATGGTGGCCTTTCTTATGTGTGTTATTTTATGATATTTGCTATATATTTCGTATGTAAAAATGCCAGCCATTTCTGTTCGATGGGATTCGCTACGCTTTGGCGTTGCCGTTGTTCTGGTTATATCTGATTTTACCTTCCAGATACCAACGAGTGTTCTAGCAATCCATGCCTGAACGGTGGGGCATGTATAGATCAAGTCAATGGTTACACATGTACCTGTGTCCCTGGATATGAGGGGGTGGAGTGTGCCATAAGTGAGTGTGTATCTTTAATTCTTAGCCGATTTACTTTAAGTTAGAACAAGAAATTAATTTCTTGTTATGAGAGCAACTTGCATATATTTTTTACTCCTTTCCACGTGTATATTCTAAAATCCGAAAAGCACCATATACACATTTCAATCGTGGCAAAGTTTATTCATAAAGCTCCAAAAGGTACATACATCCTTTATAACAGCAATCATCAAGAGTCATTTATTTCAAACTATTTCGAGGAATTTCGCTTCAGCGCTATTACAACTTCAATATTGACGAAGATGATCTGGAAATTAAATGATCTTACTAAGATATTGGTGACAGTCAAAGCTGTTTGAAAGTACACACTTCTCTACGGCATATTTATATCTGATTTTACCTTCCAGATACCAACGAGTGTTCTAGCAATCCATGCCTGAACGGTGGGGCATGTATAGATCAAGTCAATGGTTACACATGTACTTGTGTCCCTGGATATGAGGGGGTGGAGTGTGCCATAAGTGAGTGTGTATCTTTAATTCTTAGCCGATATACTTTAAGTTAGTACAAGAAATTGAGAGCAACTTGCATATATTTTTTACTCCTTTCCACGTGTATATTCTAAAATCCGAAAAGCTCCATATACACATTTCAATCGTGGCAAAAGTTATTTCTAAATCTCCTAAAGGTGCATACATCCTTTGCACCAGCAATCATCAAGAGTCATTTCATTCAAACTTTTTTTGAGGGATTTTGTAGTTACACTTGAGTCCCTGGATAAGACGAGGTGGAGTGTGCTATAAGTTTAATTCTTAGCCGAAATACTTTAAGTAGAAGAAGAAATCGGAAGCAACGTGTTTTTATTTTTACTCATTTTTATGTGTATATTCTCAAATCCGAAAAGCTCCATATATATACACATTTCAAAATGTCCAAAAGGTGCATACATCCTTTGCACCGCCATCATCAAGAAACATTTAATTCAAACTATTTGAGGAATAGACTTGATACGAGTAGAAATAATCTTGATTTATGTCATTAAATATTCAAAATCCAGTAAAGTGATGTAATGTTTGAAATCGACATGTAAAAGTACATCTAAAAACATGGTTTCGAAAATTGTTTATCATCCTTGAAAATTTGATTCTTTTTGAAAATGTGACTTCTTGTTCGGGTTGATTCCCAATAGACCCTATGTTACAAAATCACAAAAAAGTGAAATATCTTTTATTGTATTGGACAGATAACATTTTCTTCTACTGGACATTTTTTAATTTGCATAACCATTAGATAGATAGGGTTATATGAAAATTGAACAACTAAAGCAGATGTAATTTAACTTAAAGGGAAATATCTACTATACCCGCCATGCTATCTGACCCGAACATTTATTAGTTATTTAATTCAAACTATATTGAGGAATTCCACTTCAAAGCTTATCACAACTTCAATATTGACGAACATGATCTGGAAATTAAATGATCTTACTAAGATATTGGTGACAGAACTATTTGGAGGTACACACTTCTCTACGGCATATTTACATCTAATTTTACTTTCCAGATACCAACGAGTGTTCTAGCAATCCATGCCTGAACGGTGGGGCATGTATAGATCAAGTCAATGGTTACACATGTACTTGTGTCCCTGGATATGAGGGGGCGGAGTGTGCTATAAGTGAGTGTGTATCTTTAATTCTTAGCCGATATACTTTAAGTTAGAACAAGATATTGGGAGCAACTTGTATATATTTTTACTCATTTCCACGTGTATATTCTAAAATCCGAAAAGCCCATATACACATTTCAATCATGGCAAAGTTTATTTCTTAATCTCCAAAATGTAAATACATCCTTTGTACTAGCAATCATCAAGAGTCATTTAATTCAAACTAATTTGAGGAATCTCGCTTCAAAGCTCTCACAACTTCAATATTGACGAAGATTAAAATGATCTTACTAAGATATTGGTGACACATGTACTTGTGTCCCTGGATATGAGGGGATGGAGTGTGCTATAAGTGAGTGTGTATCTTTAATTCTTAGCCGATATACTTTAGTTAAAACAAGAAATTGGGAGCTACATGTACTTGACGTATATATTTTTATTTTTGGAGGTACACACTTCTTTACGACATATTTAATCTAATTTTACCTTCCAGATACCAACGAGTGTTCTAGCAATCCATGCCTGAACGGTGGGGCATGTATAGATGAAGTCAATGGTTACACATGTACTTGTGTCACTGGATATGAGGGGGCGGAGTGTGCTATAAGTGAGTGTGTATCTTTAATTCTTAGCCGATATACTTTAAGTTAGAACAAGAAATTGGGAGCTACTTGTATATATTTTTACTCATTTTCACGTGTATATTCTAAATTATCCTACACTTAGTGTACTAAATGTATAATAACATCAAAAAAGTAATTTGATATATTTATTGGCAAAATAAATAACCGGAGGATATCTTGATGATATACTCTGGGCGGAGGATATCTTGACGATAAACTCCAGAAAACCCAATATGCGGAGGATATTGTGACGATATATTCCGCTTGTTTATTTCCCGCCAAATTGACTCTATTTGGCATGAAATTCATTTTGCAATGATATTATACATTTAGTACACTCCTTGTAAGTGTACTATAATAAGAACATCCTATGATTTTTTCAGAATATCATTTTAATCTACTCGGTAATATTGATATATGCCCTCGTTCGCTTTGCTCTCTCGTGCAGATACCAATATCACCTCTTAGATAAAATGATATTCCTCAAAATCATAGGATATCCTATAAATCCGGAAAGCACCATATACACATTTCAATCGTGGCAAAGTTTATTTCTAAATCTCAAAAAGGTACATACATCCTTTATACCAGCAATCATCAAGAGTCACTTAATTCAAACTATTTTGAGGAATTTCGCTTCAAAGCTATCACAACTTCAATATTGACGAAGATGATCTGGAAATTGAATGATCTTACTAAGATATTGGTGACAGTCAGAACTATTTGGAGGTACACACTTCTGTACGACATATTTATATCGAATTTTACTTTCCAGATACAGACGAGTGTTCTAGTAACCCATGCCTGAACGGTGGGGCATGTATAGATGAAGTCAATGGTTACACATGTACTTGTGTCCCTGGATATGAGGGGGTGGAGTGTGCCATAAGTGAGTGTGTATCTTTAATTCTTAGCCGATATACTTTAAGTTAGAACAAGAAATTGAGAGCAACTTGCATATATTTTTTACTCCTTTCCACGTGTATATTCTAAAATCCGAAAAGCTCATACATTTCAATCATGGCAAAATTTATTTCTTAATCTCCAAAAGGTAAATACATCCTTTGTACTAGCAATCATCAAAAGTCATTTAATTTTAACTAATTTGAGGAATTTCGCTTTAAACCTATCACAACTTCAATATTGACGAAGATGATCTGGAAATTAAATGATCTTGCTAAGATATTGGTGACAGAACTATTTGAAAGTACACACTTCTCTACGGCATATTTATATCGAATTTTACTTTCCAGATACCAACGAGTGTTCTAGCAATCCATGCCTGAGCGGTGGGGCATGTATAGATGAAGTCAATGGTAACACATGTACTTGTGTCCCTGGATATGAGGGGGTGGAGTGTGCCATAAGTGTGTATCTTTAATTCTTAGCCGATATACTTTAAGTTAGAACAAGAAATTGGGAGCTACTTGTATATACTCATTTTCACGTGTATATTCTAAAATCCGAAAAGCCCCATATAAACATTTCAATCGTGGCAAAAGTTATTTCTAAATCTCCTAAAGGTGCATACATCCTTTGCACCAGCAATCATCAAGAGTCATTTCATTCAAACTTTTTTGAGGGATTTTGTAGTTACACTTGAGCCCCTGGATAAGACGAGATGGAGTGTGCTATAAGTTTAATTCTTAGCCGAAATACTTTAAGTAGAAGAAGAAATCGGAAGCAACGTGTTTTTATTTTACCTCATTTTTATGTGTATATTCTCAAATCCGAAAAGCTCCATATATATACACATTTCAAAATGTCCAAAAGGTGCATACATCCTTTGCACCGGCCATCATCAAGAAACATTTAATTCAAACTATTTGAGGAATAGACTTGATACGAGTAGAGATAATCTTGATTTATGTCATTAAATATTCAAAATCCAGTCAAAGTGATGTAATGTTTGAAATCGACATGTAAAAGTACATCTAAAAATATGGTTCGAAAATTGTTTATCATCCTTGAAAATTTGATACTTTTTGAAAATGTGACTTCTTGTTCGGGTTGATTCCCAATAGACCCCATGTTACAAAATCACAAAAAAGTTAAATATCTTTTATTGTATTGGACAGATAACATTTTCTTTTACTGGACATATTTTAATTTGCATAACCATTAGATAGATAGGGTTATATGAAAATTGAACAACTAAAGCAGATGTAATTTAAGTTAAAGGGAAATATCTACTAAACCCGCCATGCTATCTGACCCGAACATTTATTAGTTATTTAATTCAAACTATTTTGAGGAATTCCGCTTCAAAGCTTATCACAACTTCAATATCGACGAACATGATCTGGAAATTAAATGATCTTGCTAAGATATTGGTGACAGAACTATTTGGAGGTACACACTTCTCTACGGCATATTTATATCGAATTTTACCTTCCAGATACCAACGAGTGTTCTAGCAATCCATGCCTGAGCGGTGGGGCATGTATAGATGAAGTCAATGGTTACACATGTACTTGTGTCCCTGGATATGAGGGGGTGGAGTGTGCTATAAGTGAGTGTGTATCTTTAATTCTTAGCCGATATACTTTAAGTTAGAACAAGAAATTGGGAGCTACTTGTATATACTCATTTTCACGTGTATATTCTAAAATCCGAAAAGCTCCATATACACATTTCAATCGTGGCAAAATTTATTTCTAAATATCCAAAAGGTGCATACATCCTTTGCACCAGCAATCATCAAGAGTCATATCATTCAAACTTTTTTGAGGGATTTTGTGGTTACACTTGTGTCCCTGGATAAGACGAGGTGGAGTGTGCTATAAGTTTAATTCTTAGCCGATATACTTTAAGTTAGAAGAAGAAATTGGAAGCAACGTGTTTGTATTTTTACTCATTTTCATGTGTATATTCTCAAATCCGAAAAGCTCCATATACACATTTCAATCGTGGCAAAACTTATTTTTAAATTTCCAAAAGGTGCATACATCCTTTGCACCGGCAATTATCAAGAAACATTTAATTCAAACTATGTTGAGGAATAGACTTGATACGAGTAGAAATAATCTTGATTTATGTCATTAAGTATTCAAAATTCAGTCAAAGTGATGTCATGTTTGAAATCGACATGTAAAAGTACATCTAAAAATATGGTTTCGAAAATTGTTTATCATCCTTGAACATTTGATTCTTTTTGAAAATGTGACTTCTTGTTCGGGTTGATTCCCCATAGACCCCATGTTACAAAATCACAAAAAGTGAAATATCTTTTATTGTATTGGACAGATAACATTTTCTTTTACTGGACATATTTTAATTTGTTGCATAACCATTAGATAGATAGGGTTATATGAAAATTGAACAACTAAAGGAGAATGATGTAATTTAAGTTAAAGGGAAATCTCTACTAAACCCGCCATGCTATCTGACCCGAACATTTATTAGTTATTTAATTCAAACTATTTTGAGGAATTCCGCTTCAAAGCTTATCACAACTTCAATATCGACGAACATGATCTGGAAATTGAATGATCTTACTAAGATATTGGTAACAGTCAGAACTATTTGGAGGTACACTCTTCTGTACGACATATTTATATCGAATTTTACTTTCCAGATACCAACGAGTGTTCTAGCAATCCATGCCTGAACGGTGGGGCATGTATAGATGAAGTCAATGGTTACACATGTACTTGTGTCCCTGGATATGAGGGGGCGGAGTGTGCCATAAGTGTGTATCTTTAATTCTTAGCCGATATACTTTAAGTTAGAACAAGAAATTGGGAGCTACTTGTATATACTCATTTTCACGTGTATATTCTAAAATCCGAAAAGCCCCATATAAACATTTCAATCGTGACAAAAGTTATTTCTAAATCTCCTAAAGGTGCATACATCCTTTGCACCAGCAATCATCAAGAGTCATTTCATTCAAACTTTTTTGAGGGATTTTGTAGTTACACTTGAGCCCCTGGATAAGACGAGGTGGGGTGTGCTATAAGTTTAATTCTTAGCCGAAATACTTTAGTAGAAGAAGAAATTGGAAGCAACGTGTTTTTATTTTTACTCATTTTTATGTGTATATTCTCAAATCCGAAAAGCATCATATATATACACATTTCAAAATGTCTAAAAGGTGCATACATCCTTTGCACCGGCCATCATCAAGAAACATTTAATTCAAACTATTTGAGGAATAGACTTGATACGAGTAGAAATAACCTTGATTTATGTCATTAAATATTCAAAATCCAGTCAAAGTGATGTAATGTTTGAAATCGACATGTAAAAGTACATCTAAAAATATGGTTTCGGCAATTGTTTATCATCCTTGAAAATTTGATTCTTTTTGAAAATGTGACTTCTTGTTCGGGTTGATTCCCAATAGACCCCATGTTACAAAATCACAAAAAAGTGAAATATCTTTTATTGTATTGGACAGATAACATTTTCTTTTACTGGACATATTTTAATTTGCATAACCATTAGATAGATAGGGTTATATGAAAATTGAACAACTAAAGCAGATGTAATTTAAGTTAAAGGGAAATATCTACTATACCCGCCATGCTATCTGACCCGAACATTTATTAGTTATTTAATTCAAACTATATTGAGGAATTCCACTTCAAAGCTTATCACAACTTCAATATTGACGAACATGATCTGGAAATTAAATGATCTTACTAAGATATTGGTGACAGTCAAAGCTGTTTGAAAGTACACACTTCTCTACGGCATATTTATATCTGATTTTACCTTCCAGATACCAACGAGTGTTCTAGCAATCCATGCCTGAACGGTGGGGCATGTATAGATGAAGTCAATGGTTACACATGTACTTGTGTCCCTGGATATGAGGGGGTGGAGTGTGCCATAAGTGAGTGTGTATCTTTAATTCTTAGCCAATATGCTTTAAGATAGAACACGAAATTGAGAGCAACTTGTATATATTATTACTCATTTTCACGTGTATATTCTAAAATCCGAAAAGCCCATATACACATTTCAATCGTGGCAAAATTTATTTCTAAATCTCCAAAAGGTGCATACATCCTTTGCACCAGCAATCATTAAGAGTCATTTAATTCAAACTATTTTGAGGAATTCGCTTCAAAGCTATCACAACTTCAATATTGACGAACATGATCTAGAAATTAAATGATCTTAGGGGCGGGGTCAAAATACCGATGTTCATATGGAGACGAAAGTACTTTCGCGAGGGGGGAGGGGGTTTTTGGGCACTTTCGTTGACCAAAAAAACATCGATAATTCGGATCTGATATACAAAAAATAATTGGACTTACCCACTTTTTCTGGCGCTATGTTCTGATAAAAAGGCTTGTTTTCAATAGTTCGTGAGCTTTTTTGTGTGATAGGTCCAAAATATCGGTAGATAAAGACGATAATTCGATCATTTTTCAAATAAATTCCGTACTTTTCCCTCCTCCTTTTGAAGAGTTCAATGCAGTTAAATTGCGAACGTGTGTTAATTCACCGTAATAATAACCCGGCAAATAGGATACGATTATGCCTCTCATAAATCAATGTTTTTTAAGTGACCTAAGCTTTCGTCTAGAGGGGGGGGGGGTGGGGGGGTTGTTGTCCAAACGAAATTACTTTCGTCTCCATATGAACATTGATATTTTGACCCCGCCCCTTACTAAGATATTGGTGACAGTCAAAGCTATTTGAAAGTACACACTTCTCTACGGCATATTTATATCTGATTTTACCTTCCAGATACCGACGAGTGTTCTAGCAATCCATGCATGAACGATGGGGCATGTATAGATGAAGTCAATGGTTACACATGTACTTGTGTCCCTGGATATGAGGGGGCGGAGTGTGCTATAAGTGAGTGTGTATCTTTAATTCTTAGCTGATATACTTTAAGTTAGAACAAGAAATTGGAAGCAACGTGTTTGTATTTTTTCTCATTTTCATGTGTATATTCTAAAATCCGAAATGCTCCATATAAACATTTTGATCGTGGCAAACTTTATTTTTAAATCTCCAAAAGGTGCATACATCCTTTGCATCAGCAATCATCAAGAGTACTTTAATTCAAACAATTGTGAGGAATTTCGCTTCAAAGCTATCACGACTTCAATATTAACGAACATGATCTGGAAATTAAATGATCTTACTAAGATATTAGTGACAGTCAGAACTGTTTGGAGGTACACACTTCCGTACTTCTGTACGACATATTTATATGTCTCATTTCACATTCCAGATACAGACGAGTGTTCTAGCAACCCATGTCAAAACGTTGGGACTTGTATTGATGACGTCAACGGTTACACGTGTACTTGTGTCCCTGGATATGAAGGAGTGGAGTGTGCCATAAGTAAGTGTGTATAAAAATAAGATCAAGAATGTATCTTGTATGAATATTGTTTCACTCATTGTCATGTGTATTTTCTAAAACCCATACACCCTTCACATTGCCTATTCTAATTTTACTTTCCAGATACAGACGAGTGCTCTAGCAGTCCATGTCTAAACAATGGGACTTGTACTGATGCAGTCAATGGTTACACATGTACTTGTGTCCCTGGATATGAGGGGGCGGAGTGTGCCATAAGTGAGTCAATAGCAACAAGTCTTTTTCGTTTTGTTTTAAAAGTCAGCAAAAGAACAAAGGAACACCTGCCAATGTGTGGCTTAATTGGAAGTGCCACGCATATTATCTAAATCCAAAAGGTTACATACACCCTTTACACCGGCAATCATCAAAAGTAATCTTTTTGATTGACACAATTATTTTCTAAATCCCAAAAGGTACAGAGCGACTTCATACTGGCAATCTGTAATGTGTCTAGTTCACACGTGCCAAGGCTTATTTTCTAAATACCAAAAAGGTACATATAACCTTATTTATATTAGACAAGGATGTAGTAAGATAAGTAGAAGTTCAAGGCAAAGAACAAAGGGCCTGCCAATGGCTTCTTTTAGATACTACAATACAATGAAAAAGCAACCCACTATCGATCGGCCATCTTTAGGGTGGTCCGAAATTTATGCGTTTCCAATCAGTTCCTTTGATGAGGAAGTCGTTTTGCCATTGATTTATGAATTGTTAAATCATTATACTCATTATTTCTTCATTATCCCACCGAACGAAGTTCGAGGGGGATATAGAGAACCCGTCCGTCCGTTCGTCCGTCCGTCTGTCCGTCCGTTCGTCCGTTCGTTTGGCCGTGTGTCCGGGCGATAACTCCAATACCGGTTGACAGATTTGGTTCAAATTTTATAGGCTTATGCCTTATGAGTGTAGGACCTCTGCTCGAGAAGGAAATTTCAATATGGCCCCTCAATTAAAAATGGCCGCCATTTTTCGTAAAAAATGTAATCGTTGATAACTCAAATACAAGTTGACGGATTTGATTCAAATTCTATATGCTGGTACCTAGGGACAAAGGAGTTTCGTACAAAAAGAGATTTTTCAGATGGCCGCTTAATTTCAAAATGGCGGCTATTTTTCTTAAAAATATGTAATCTTTGATAACTCAAATACCAGTGAACGGATTTGGTTCAAATTGTATATGATGATGCTTAGGGACACAGTAGCTATGTTTGACAAAACATTTTCAAGATGGCCGCTTAATTTCGGAATTGGCGGAATTTTTCGTAAAAAACGTAATCTTTGATAACTCAAATACCAGAGAACAGATTTGGTTGAAATTTTATATGATTATGCCTAGGGACACAGTAGCTCTGTTCAAGAAATACTTTTCAAGATGGCGGCTGAATTTCAAGATGGCGGCAAATTTTCGTAAAAAACGTAATCTTTGATAACTCATATACCAGTGAACGGATTTGGTTCAAATTTTATATGATGATGCCTCGTTCACAATGGTATAAACTAACTTTGTGCCAAATTTCATGCTTCTATCACAAAGTGGACAAAGATTTCAACATATACACTTAGCTATAATAAGCATAATATGTTTTGTTCGGTGGGATTTGCTACTCCGTGGAGTTGCTGTTTTTCTAGTTATTTCTTGGGTCGATATCAACATATTGTCATAATAGGCTTTGCTTGCATTTACCAATTAAACATTGTGCTTCTTAATACATGAAATCTCTTCCATAAAAACTTCTTTCAAGAAAAAACTGAAATAAAAAAGAATCCCAAAACTTTCATTCTATACTTAAGTAAACAATACCACTTGAATATGTGTATTGAAAGGATAATGGAATGGCAAAATTGTGTGAATGCTTAGTCTTAACCTGTATGAGTCCCGAAATACAATACCTTTAGACGCATGGAGTGTTCTGGCAAAATACAGTTTACCATGTTGTTTTTTCAATTTACAATTGATTCATTGGTCAGCATCTACTGCGTATGTGCACATCATTCTCGGTACTTACACTGTAATTTTAATGTACATGTACATTCCAGATACGAATGAGTGTTCTAGCAATCCATGTTTAAATGGTGGAACGTGTACAGATCAAGTCAACGGCTACACATGCAGTTGCGGACTTAATTATTCTGGTTTGCTGTGTCAGAGTGAGTCAATGTGGAGTGAAATTAAAATTTATTCGATTCATAGATCACGTAGTTGATGGTTGATTTATATGGTGTTGATATTGACATCTTATATTTATGTGATATCTCTAACACCCCAGTCACATTTCCTACGGCGACCTTGCGGTCTATCATTTCTGCGGCCAGTAACATTTCTACGCTCGCCGTGGAATTTCTGCGCTCTCATACTTTTGCAGTCACATTTCCCACGGCAGCCGCACGGTGAATTTTAAATTTCTGTTGATAAATAATACTTTTTTCATTTTATTTACATCGGAACAACTTATAGATGTTATTTTAAAAAGTGGTCCGAGTTGTCTTGGGTCCGAGTTGTCTTGGGTCCGAGTTGTCTTGGGTCCGAGATGTCTTGGGTCCGAGTTGTCCAGGGTCCGAGTTGTCCTGGGTCCGAGTTGTCCGGAAACCATTCATAGTGCTAGGATGTAATATCAAATGAAAAGTGATCGTGAAACATTGACAAATAATGATTCAATCTTGTTGAGCCAGTTGATTATTACGGGGACCTCAGAAATGAACTCCGAGTTATAATTTCTACGGCGACCTTGCGGCCTGTAAAAAACTGGATACGCCGTACGGAGGCCGCATGGCGAGCGTAGTTTTGCTACGCTCGCCGCAGAAATACACTGATTTTTTAATTGATCTGCGGTCGATGCACGGCCTCCGTACGACAAATGTGACTGGGGTGTAACACATAGAATAGTGTCCAGCGGAATACGGGAACCATTACATGCGAGTTTGGACTCAGTGCGTGTGTAAAATTAACACGTTCGTTCGTAATTTTGATATGTGTGTAATTCGTTAAGTATTCTATGCTACTCATAACACAATCCGTGTGACATTCAAACATACTGATTTTTGCAAAGTGATTCGAGTCAAGTGTAACTCTTTATGTAACACTTGATAGAACCAGTGTGTGTGAATTAAAATAAGAAATGTAAGGCAATTAACTGCTGGAATAACCATGGGCTCTATAGGGTGGTAGAGCCCATGGAATAACATAGATTGAAAATCGCGTACGAGAATGCAAGTTTTGCATATGATGATGCGTATTTCACATATTATGATGCGAGATTCGAACATTATTAGTTCGATTGTCGCATCACATGGTTCGACATTTTACATGGATCGTGTATTTTCCAATTTTGATACAAAATAAATTCGAAATATTTCCTCAGTTTAGTGGATATTTGATTTCCATTTATATTATATCATATTCGAGACGCAGGGTCTTTGCTGTGCATTGCAGAACGGTACGACGAATATATCTCTGTTTTAAAAATAGAATATCGATTTTTTTTCCAGACTTGGCTGACGATAGATAGACTTGCCAAAAAGAACCTGAGAAACGTCTAGATATCGGCTGTTCAAGTGGAGACAGATAGTTGTTGATTACTTCCTCCTGTTAAAACGCCACTGTTTAAAGAATATTGTATTGGTAGATTGATTTAATATCACTGGACATGATATTGCTTGTTGCATTTCACACAGCGTTACCGTTTATCATTTATTTGGGATTACGCAAGGGTCCCCTTTTCGAAAAAAGTATTTAAAGATTTCTTTTGAATATAAATTAAATAAGTAAAAATATCATAAACTCTTTGACATCAAGAACATTTTAAACCATTTCATTTGAAAAATAAGATTAAAATGAACTCTAAACTCAAATGGATGAAGTAACTCAATGAACACTGTTTAAGTTTTTAATTACAGTCAATGATTTAAATTGAATTAGTCTAAATTAGTTATAATTACATCATTTATTATTTCTGATTTTTTAAGCATCATGCAACATTACTGATATTTTCTAACAATTGAGCGTAGCAAATAAGTTTGAAAATGATTAAATACAGGCATCAATTTTGATACTAGATATGAGGTGTTCTATAGTTCTATGTTACGGGGTGTATATTTGAGTATCTTCTGTTCTATTTAAGTGACGATAAACCTGTAAACGGGGGGGGGGGGGGGTATTGATTGCATGAGTTGTGAGTGAGTTATAGTTGGAATTGGGTTTTGATAATATCAAGTCTTGTCGGCTTTGTGACGCTACGCTAGCAAGCAGCATTTACTTTTACAAAACAAGGTTGATAATTTTAAAGTATATTGTTAAATGTAATTTTATTTTGATATTAATCACGGGTGTTAAAACACGAATATACCATGAGCACATGCTTTGAGGATCCGCGTTGTTTGAACCTACCGCCGAGCACACTTAAACATTAAGAGTCATGATACCGCCGAGCAAGCTCATTGCATCATCGGGTCTGCTTTGCCCCCGTGTTGTTAATGTTATAGAGAAAGTTGTGTGGTTCGAATTCTTAAATCCTACAAGCGCCAATTTTATCTTAGGGCAAGGTGGACCTCCTTGTATACAAAAATAGCACTGCAAAAATGGGTCGCCGCGAATTTGACATTTAAGAATTCAATATAATATTAGCCTACGGTTTCCGAAACAAAAAGAATGTGTTATAATTAATCATTTGCAGGAATTAAGTTAATCTAGATAAAAGATTTGCCTCCGAGGCATATGGAATGATTCATTCACGAAAGGTAATTTTAAAAGTTTGGTCTCCGAGACATGGATCAAGATTGAATTATTGTTGATTTTTGCCTCCGGGTCATTTGTAGATATGGAATATTTAATATTAACGGTTTACCTCTTGGGGATCTACTTTAATTTAGAGTTCATAATTGGACCATCATCGCGATATGGTATGCCAGAGCCCCTCTTATCTGCCGCAGAATGATGGAACATTGATATATGACTTTATATGCCAGGATTATGATCAGATCATAAATCTGAGGCGCCTCAGAGGTGCTGCCCAAAAGGTATTTGTGTATTTGGAGTTTGTATGTACGAGGTTATACTGTAATAAATAGCGGCACAAAAGAGCCAATGCAAAATTTGGTGGTCGTTTTGTTTTAATAGTTTAGTACGGAGGACCAGTTTTAAAGTTGTTTTTTTATCTTTGAAATCGATTTTCAAGAAAACCGCTAGCTTGTGAAACTCAAAATTTGTACGCATACAAGAACAGACTTGTGTCAAGATCTGATTAGGTTTTGGGCACGTTAGGTAAAGATTGTGACAATTTTGCTCTTCGAAGTGCGTTTATCACGGTGTGTCTCGTGTTTCTTTTTTTACTATCCCAGGTACCCTTGGTACGAGATGTCATGGTTACAAAAGCTTAGGTTAGAATGGATAATGCAACATTATGACATTTTGTTCATGTATACGTTTTAGATCAACACTCTGTGAGAAAATAAGTCTGATTCATTATTGTTTATAATAGTTATGAGCACTTTTCATCTTTCTTTATGATATTACCCCGTATATCCTGCTCAGAGACTGAAACTACACGTAGCAACCCATGGCCAGTTTACTTTACAGATTGTTTTCACCATGCTGGTCGAGGAAGGGGTAGGGTAGGAGGTGGGGGCTGGCAAGGTTGGAGATTAACACATTTCTGCTTATTTGTCATGATCATCTTCTTGGATGTGGATGATATGCCCACTATACGCCTTATTTGTATCTTTCACCAGATTTGTATCTTACATCAATAAATTAATTAATTACTTAATGAAGAATTCGTTTGTAACTTTGAATCTAATTCGATATGGTAATAACTGTAGGAAGTATTACATGCGATCATTATATTTGCTATTTTTCTAGGCGATGTGTATATTTATTACCTTATCCCCCTTTGTAAACTCAGATTCAAGACAACATTGGGCTAGTAAATTATTTCATCACATTTATGAAGTTACCCACTGTTGTTGCCAGACTTTCATAGTTTTCCTGGTTCTTGTAAACCATTTATAGGGTGTTCCGAAAGTATGGGGCCTCCCTAGGCAGATTTATACCAATGTCTCCATTCCATAGTATATGTCATATGTCGTTTTAAAGCTTATCCAAAGTTACATTGATTTGCCAAGTATCATGACTCAACTCACAAGTGGGAAAAAGTGTTGATATGAATATGTAAAATGTGTTCCATTTTGTTGCCAACACAATGAGTAGTCACAATCTAAGCAGACAGATCTAAAATTACATTCGTACATGATGCGAGACTCGACATTCAGCAGGAAACTAGAAAAATGTTGTCACCAATGTAGCAAATTATTTTTGACTGTGTATAGATAACATAAAAATCAAATAGAGATAATAATACCCTTTGCATTCGTTTTATTTCACTTCTTAAAAGAGAGCTTCGTCTTACCCTTTGCATTCGTTAAATTTCACTTCTTAAAAGAGAGCTTCGTCTTCACTCTTTCAAACTAAAATAAACCTGTGAACTCACGCGCCAATCAGTGTTCGTCGGCCAAATTTGACCGACGTTCTATATATGGTCATTCATTCTGACGTCATCGTTGAGTCCGGAATTGACCAATGACATGCACATATTTAATTTGAACGCATTTGGAGTATGTTTCTTCAAGCTCGCTGATTGGTGGAAGAAAGGTCAGCGCGTAGGTCAAAAGTGATTTATAACCCAAACTGTCACCGGTATCCGTCGTGGGGGTGGGGCTACTAAACTGTAATATGGTCTCTATTCTGCACGCAGGTAAGATAATAACTTACATGTTTATGATTTATAAGGTCATACAGGCATATTTACATTTAAACAAGAGAGAAAATAATGTAACATTAACTTTGACTTTCGGCGCGTACATGTATGATGCCAACCATACGCATCAAAGTCATTTCTCTTCAAGAGTACGGTAAGTAATGACGTTAAGTAATGAAGTATTACGTTAAGATGGGTATCTGATACATGTGCACATGCTGCTAGCTGATCAGACACACGAATATGCCCAGTAGATAGCGCCCATGGTAGAAAGGGGGTGGTGAGGTATCTGACTCCCGACCACGCTTGGTAGATCGCGAAGATCTGACTTCCAAGACGAATAGTGCTGTAGATGGCACCACGATGACTAGAGAGGTATCTGGCTTTCGACCATGCTTGGTAGATTGCGAAGACCTGACTCCAAAAACGAATAGTGCGGTAGATAGCCCCATGGAGAGATCTCCCGTAAAATACAGAAGATTGGTAATTTAGACATAAAATACTGCCGAAAATGAGTGGGAAATAAGGGGCCAGAACGAAGTAATGAGTGTGAATACCTTTTCATTTTTCCATTTAGAAGTTAATAACAGTAAGATAATGGTGAAACAATGCAATGAATTGGATGAATGGTTAATGATAATCACATTAAGCTCTAGAACATAATAGCATGACGTTCTGATATTTTAATGTAACTCGTTTGAAAAGTAATGGCGGTGATTGAAATAACGACGTAAAGAGAAAACTGCAACGGTATATTTGTAGATTGTTTTGAAAAACTAAGAAAACATCACATGTCGAATTTTTCAAAACAGAAAAATATGTATAAATAGTAAGGTCCGATTCCCCCTGGTAGCATTAACATTGGTCCCGTGAGTGTATGTCATGCAATTGATATTTGAAACACAACTATTATTCGAACTTATGATCGGATATTGGTATGATGTCTTCTTCAAGGTAATAAAGTAAGATGATACTTATGTCTGATCTTAAGTCCGATTGAAGCCAACAGTATATAAGACTCTTACAGCGTGAAGCTTCTTTCAACAAAAGCATCTTCTCACATCTGGGGACCGAAACACCGCTTAAACGAGTGACTCTATACACAAAAGCAATGTCTCGAGTGAAAGGTATTTCTGTGAGGGTTTTAATGGAACAAGTTTGAAGAAGAACGGTGTACTGTGAGACTCACAATCATTGATTTTCCAAAGAAAGTGTAGGTTTGAAATTCAAAATAACGGTTTTGCGGGGCGTTTTGGTTTCGATACGCCCCGGTGAGTTAGTACCGCGTGATTTATGGCCAGAAAGTACTCATGGTGAAAGATATGACTGTCTAAAATCACTTGCCATACTGCACGCGGTCTTTCTGAATCTGAACAATAATTATGAAGATAGGGGCAAAACACTGAAAGGAGCCCCGGAAAGTGGGCATTGCATATTTACTTTGTTACCATAGCAACGACGCAGCGGATTCAGAATTGCCAACTTAATATTTCCTGATTACATTATCTATTACCTTCCATTTGGTGTGAATTGCATCGAAATCTGAGCAATAATGACAGAGTTAGGGGCCATCAAATACTGAAAAGAGCCCCTAAAAGTGGGCGTGACATATTTACTTGGTTATCATAGCAACGCCGTCGCGGATTCAGAATTGCCAACGTCATTTTTCTTGGTAAGTATCACGTATAGTTCATGTAAATATGTGTCGCTTAGCTCGCCTCTAAAAAGGACACGGAATGACCTTTGCTCCAATACTATTGCCAAGATAGTTCAGAAAAAGTAAAACATTTCGAATTTTCTATCTACAGGCCGTGTTGCCCCTTTAAGAAGCTCAATATGTAAAGTATCTAATCAAACAGTTCGTCTATCATTTTGAAACAGAAATCAATCCAATCTGTGCTAGCGATTCATAGGGCGAGCCATTTGGGATATTTCCAGGGTTCGTACACACCTGGAAATGTCAGGGAAATTGATTTATTTTTCCAAGTGCTGGAAATGTCAAGGAACTTTAAAATTTGGTCAAAAAAGGGCCAAAGATGTCAGGGAATTTTGAAACAGTAGATATGTCAGGGAAATGTCAAGGAAAGTAACAGTGTTGAAAAAATAATATTCCAGAAAAATATATTTTAGGGCTATGCCAGGATATCAATGAAATCCAAAATGTAACATTTTGTTGATTCAACAGGCCAAAAAACGTATGAAAACGTATAACATATATCTAAAAACACTGTCTTTATGAATGAACTCCTTTCCTTTCTGGCGTATTTAATAAAGCAAAAATAATATATCACGGAGGGATACAAACCATTCACCTGGGATTTAGTTAATCACTAACCTCATAGGCATTCACCTATTCTGAATTCAACTGACGAGTTTTATCTAAGTAGAGTCAAAAGCGAATACCATTCTGAAATGACGCTCGGTATAATTAAATACTACTTTTGAACAATCATATACTCACCTGTTAAATCCCTATTTAAATCGAGAGAAATCCCGATTTTTATTGCTTATCCCGATTTATTTTTCAAAATCCCAATTTTTATTCCGATTTTAAGGAAATATCCAGATTTTTTCTGTAAAATATTACGATTTTAGGAAATTACTCCAATTTTTCGTAAATTATTCCGATTTTTTTCATAAAATATCCCGATTTTGTGTTTAAAACTCCCGATTTGTTAACGACACATCCCGCTTTTTCAGTGAAAACTCCCGATTTTTAAATGATACCTTCCCGATTTGGGTTCAAAACTCCAGATTTGTCAATGAGATGTTCTCCCAAAAAATGAAAGTATACGACAGGCAATACAGATCATATTGATCCGATATGTATTGTGGTCATGGAGTATGTAAATCGTATTGATTGCTTTAATTTATTTTAACGATAAAAGTAATATATGAACAGTAAATTATACAAACGTATAATCCTACACTTAGTGTACTAAATGTATAATAACATTAAAAAATAAATTTGATATTTATTGGCAAAATGAATATCCGGAGGATATCGTGACGATATACTCCGGGCGGAGGATATCGTGACGATATACTCCGGAAAACCCAATATGCGGAGGATATTTTGACGATATACTCCGCTTGTTGATTTCCCGCCAAATTGACTCTATTTGGCATGGTATTCATTTTGCAATGATATTATACATTTAGTACACTCCTTGTAAGTGTAGGATAATAAGAACATCCTATGATTTTTTAAGAATATCATTTTAATCTACTCGGTGATATACTGTATGCACTCGTTCGCTTCGCTCTCTCGTGCAGATATCAATATCACCTCGTAGATAAAAATGATATTCCTCAAAATCATAGGATATCCTATAAATATAATATACAAATTATACAAACGTGTACGTGCACGTTCTGCCATGCCAGTGAAAAAAGAATCGATTTTATGTCATTGTTTGTCAAATATATCTGATTTTAAAGTATTGCTTAAGTATCAAAGAACGGTTACATGAGTATTTTCATCACTCTGGTCCATTTTCCCATTAAGTGATACAAATAAACAGAACATGCTCGCGATTTTAGTGGGAACTTGCTCGCGACTTTGAAATCATAGCGGGGCTTTGGATACTACCCGTGATTATATATAATAAGTATTCCCCTAGGTATCACGAAAAAGAACAATGACCCCATGCGTTGCAAATTACACGCCCATACGTTTTCAACAAAAGCAGTTCATCCAAGCCAAGCACACTTACACCTCCATTAATAGAGGGATTTTCTAAATAGCTTTGAAATCTCGCAAATTCTCGTTTTTCATGATATTTTAAGATATTTGCATTTTTACCTCTAATATAATGACTTACTTTCCTTTCTTTTTAATAGCATATTTGAATTCGGTGAAAGGTTTTCTCCAATAAAAGCTATGATTTACACAATAATGTCTTTTAAACCACTTTCCATGACATGTTAAAAGAAACTTGGGCCAAATCTCCATTGATGCAATGCTAAAATTCTTGAAAACCTTGTTTTATTCGTATGACAACCAACATTTTCATTGTTAATCACAATATGTACATTGACAGGGTCATCCAATAGTATGCAATTCGAGTTTTAGACAGATTCGACCAACACTTTTAATAATCATGAAATTAAGTGACTATTGCAAGTGTGTAGCATTGAAGTCAATGGAAGCCCAAGCAAATTAAAGACAAACAAGGGGGACAGCTTTTATTTAAGCTTTATTCAGCTATTTAGAAACTATACCATTATAGTCCATTTGTCATTTTCTGAACGTGTGAATATTTAAAAGTATGATGTTTTTCTGTGTAAATACTATCATTAGGGATTATTGGAGTGATTTAGCTGGATTGCCAAAAAAATAACTTTGGGGAAAAATTTGGTATCTACTGTATTACCATGGTAACATACCAGGTATATGGTGGTATCCCAACGCTAAGTCAATAGTCAACTCCATGTTAAGCGATTGCACCCCTTCCTAATCAGCCTATACAATTTTTTCCCCAAACAAACTTTTTCGGTAACCCAGTTAAATCACTTCAGAAAACCCTTATTATCATAAATCGGCCATAAAACATCGTACTTTTAACAATTTCTAGGTTCACTATTGGATGTATAGGGGTGACAGATGGACTATAGGATGTGTTAAACTCGTCGGGTAACAGCGTATGTCAACCCCGCCGGCTTGTTGCTAGTGCACCATGGGAGATCGATTGCAATAAATCGTCATGTCTTTCAAAAAATTGTGTGAGTATGAGTTTTTTGTTGAAAACATCATTTGCAATTTGCGCTATAGGGCTTTGTGTTCTTTTCCTTGATAGTCTATGATGCCCGGGGGGAAATCTTATTACCAATTACGCAATGCACCACCATTCAAACACACAGCATTTGTCTATTTGGACGTTTTTGAATAGGACTTCATAGTCTGAATTGATGCGAGAATTCAATGGGCTCACATCAGCTTGATTATTATTTCTTCCAAAATCCATTTCTACAATGATAAGCGTACACGTACGTCCTGGCGTACGCTCATTGCATTGAGAAAAATTATTGACTATCCTCTTTACATTACACGTTGCTTTCTGCTTGGGGCGCTTCTTGGTAGTCGTCATTGTTTCTTTTTGCTGTAGCAACTCTGCATATGCAACTCTGGAATATCCTCCTAAATGGCGTTAGGAGCGTCAGGATTAAAATGGCGCAAAACAGAACGATCAAAAATACAAACCTAGTGCCCTCTTTAAATGGTGGCAGAGGAACGGGTAGACAAGGTTCAGTTTTTATCTCAAATGAATAGTCAAAGGTCGTTGAGTTACGTGTAAACAGGAACGGTACTTTTTGATGAAGAAGATCTCTGATACGAGGACTTGTGTCGTTTAGGACAACTTGGAACCCGCTGCCTCCTTCAATCAACGTGGTCAAATTAGCTTCCATTCGTATCACTTCCAGTGTTCGGTAAATTACTGAATCAAATTCCCATAGTACGAAAGCCACCAAAAAGAGTGCGCCAATCATTATCGATTGCTGAAATATTGTCTGACACTCCTTCATTATGAAGAGCGATGACGCCAAGTTGCGGCAACACGACGATTGATTTCTTTCTTTCCATTGCTTGAAGTAACAATACGCCTGTATGAAAACTATAACTATCGATGCAGCGAAGACCGTGGCGGAGACAATCAATATAATTAAATTTAGATTGCTATATGTGGTCTCATCAAACACATCTCTCAGTTTGTTACTGATGGTTGAAAAATTGTCAATGCCTGTAACATTAGGATTCAGGATGTAATTATTTGTATCAACCTGATTTAAATAATCGTCAACATCACGTGCACTGAGTGTTATATTAAACAGAGAAATACTAAAATCCATTCCACTGATATCGATGCTAACACCCTTGTAAGTAGACAGTAGCTTTGTTATTGCCTTTTTTGGAACACCGATAACTTGTTCTAATGTTTCCATATACATAGCAGTAATGTTTCTCATATTATCTTCATTGCCTTCACTGTAATTATTTTCCGAGGATGATTCGTTAATGTATTGGCCGATCGCTTTCATTTGGCAAACCATCGCTTTTGGTACCGTCTTCACATTGTTCCATATGTTTGTGATTAGACCAACGACCAACAGCCATAGTGTTAGTCCAAGTAGAAGCACTCTTATGGGGAAGAATAATATTCCGGGAAGTGCCAGGAAGAATACACAGAGCCCATCTTTACATCTCTTACCCATGTTGAAATATTATGGTTTGTTCCTTCCGTTGTTGATAATTGTTTTTTCATTTAATCTACAATGAAACAAAAAGATTAAATAGGTATTGTACCTAGTTTAACTTGCTTAAGCTTGGAGATCATGGGCCCCTTTTCACTCATCTACTTTACAAGTGAGTCAGAGTTTATACGCGAATGGGAGGTCCAGGGTCTTGACGCAAGACCAAACAATAACATACTGACGCCATACTTTTGTAATAATAATTTGAGAAATGTCTAATGAAATAACTTATTTCTATTCTCCATGACATGTGAACTACTAATATAGCTGAATGTATGTTTCTATATTTGTCTACATTGTATACCTTTTGATGTAACAAAATATACGTGCGTATAAAGGTAGTCTAGTTTTGTAATTTAATTCCGATACACACTGTTTAGTTTTATAGCGCCATGATTTTACAAGGTATATTATATAAGAATTATGAAATCAATAAATTAGGTTGAAATAAATTAAATAGAAAAAATTTAAATTAATTGAAAATAGACATATGGGGCAATTGCTAATATTCTCATCATAATTACACAGAAGATCAGATTTTGATGAACATTATCATAACGAGGCCACTGCCTATCTAATACAATGAACATATTCAATATACACTCCCCTCCATAAGTTTGGCAACCTTTTTTCCCCCATTGAACTACGTGTTAAAGCCTCTTTACCTTTGAATTTTTATTTACTTAACCTGCGATGAAAATACTTATATAAACTATTGATGGGAACGTAATTTGACCTTAATTCCAATACCTCCAAATTTTCTCAATTTTTTCCTCAATTACAATAGGTCGAAAATTGATGATAAATTTGATGAATTTTTGAAAATCGACATTTCCATGTTAACCAATGGGAAATGGTAGGTTTGCCGCAAGTCATATGACAGAATATCCATCCATCTGAGTCCTTGCAAAAAATACGAGTTAGGCAGGCAATTGAATTTGCTAACTTTATTTAACAAAAAAATAATATGTTTCTTCAGGTTCAACAAAGTTATAGGGCTTTAAAGTCAAAATTGTCTTTCAAAAAACCTCTCCCATTGAAATAACACAGGATGCGCAAAATTATTTTCAAAAATGACTTTGAAGCGCTGTAACTTTTATATTCATCAAATAAACTAAACACTTAGTGTTCAAAAAAGTTAGACAATTCAATTTTCTATACAAAAATATTTTTTGCTGGATCTTTTACTGAAAATATATCCTGATTTCAGATTTGCCCCGAACCCTCCATTTCCCATTGGATTACATGGGAATGACGATTTTCAAAAATTCATCAAATTTATCATCAATTTTCGACCTATTGTAATTCAGGAAAAAATTGAGAAAATTTGGAGGTATTGGAAATAAAGTCAAGTTACATTTCCATCAATATTATAAGTTATTATATCGCCGGTTAAGTAAATAAAAATTCAAACGTAAAGAGGCTTTTACACCTAGTTCAATGGGGAAAAAAGGTTGCCAAACTTATGGAGGGGAGTTGTACAAGCCCTGGACTCATAGGCCAAGCAAATCGTCTCATAAAAGGCCCAAACATCCCAAAAATTGCAACAGTTTTTAAATTAGTCTTATATTATGTATTAATATCAGTTGAAAAACATATCAAAAATATAGAAAAATGTATGCAGTGGACAAATATGAAATTTCACTTCCTAGGTACCCCCTACAACCCTACCCCAAAATTGAGTATTGGTAGGAAACATTTTTTTCTTCCCAAATGGAATACTTTAGTCAAGTATTCAAGCTTTATTATGACAGATCACATATTCACAAATAATTAAAATATTATTTTAATCAATTTTGAGACCAGTAATTGGTCATTTGACCCCAAAGTATAACAAAATAGGCCACAAAACAGGCATGTTATCACATATCTATTTAGATATTTTAGGATCAGTTTGTCAGAAAAGCATGAAAAAAATCATTGTGTTACATATTCATATGAACTTCATATTTGGTGAGTGTCAGAATTCTAGGGTGTATACTTAGGAAGAAAAAAATTATTTCATTTTCATAGTTTTGCCCAACCCACTATAGGGGAGACTATAGTTTTGATGATTAACTCCCACAATGCATCACATTTGTATTATCTAAATCATTTATATAGGCTTGTCATCATCTAAAATACAAGTTTTGTGAAGGTTTATACCCTTATAAGTATGAAAAATAGGAATTATTAGTTGCACCAGGTGAAATGTTAAGGTGACCTCACTTTTATTTGATGAATAATTACATATCACCACTCTGATATTAGGGTATTTGCTAACTGCTCTATACTAGGCTTATCTAAATAATGTAAGTTGTAGTTTTTGTGGAATTTAATATTGTTTAAATTATTATTAATTACAATCCGCAATTACAAAATTTGCATATATTTAAATTCATCAGATAAATAAATCATTACATAAGAGTACATTACTATGGAAGTATCAATTGGATGTATAATGCTGTAGAAACGAATTTATGGTTATTAAACGGAATTTAAACTGACAGAGAACATTAAAATCTCAGATATCTGGGGAGTCTTTCATTAATATAATTCTAGTGCATAGGAATGATGGTAATTCTGTCTGTCAGGTTGGAAAACATTGAGTGTACATGTCCTGCATTCAGAATCGGATGCAGATATTGTGATGATTGTGAAAACTGCAATCCAAAGTGTCCAAACCAGTGTCAAATACAGTACTCATACAGATCTCCTTGTGCTTCTCATTTATCATGCACAAAACGCAAACTTCAACATTTTCTTCAAACCTGAACCAAAAGCAGCAACCCAAGAAACAGAATGTTGGAATATAAATGAAATAAGATTGTCTTTGGGAAAAGTGGTCTGTGACAATATTTTGTTTCTTTTCTGGGGTGTGACATCGCATTCAGGTTATATATGGCATAGACAAGAAGCTATCATTGAGGCAGATAAAAAAGAGTGAGTTCTTGAGAAAACAAGCGGTTGTTTTTAAATTACCAAAAGAACTGGTGATCCGCTCGATTACGCTTGTCGTTTCGGTAACAAAATGTCTAAACGTCGAAAGTATGATATTTCTTTTTTCCTTTCTTTCACGCGTTGTAGGCAGAATCCCCACGATGTTTTTTTCTCACAGAATTGTTGATTTTATTCCTTACTTAAGTTAAATAAACGGTTTGGGTTAAAAGTGCAGATCTTAATTGTTTATCGAAATACCGTTTATGTAACTTAAGTGAGGAATTAAATCGAAGATTCTGTTGTCTTCTGAACTATTTGTTCGCAAATATGTACATTTTTTAAACATATAATACTGATACATGTTTGTGATAACAATGTTGTGGGAATTCTGCCTACAATGTGTGAAATAAAGAAAAAGAAAAATCAAACCTTCGATGTTCCGACATTTTGTTACAACGTAAACAAGTAGAAAACCAGTGAAATGCAAGCAACTCTGTCATTGCAGAGGAACATGCTCTTTTGTCAATTTATGGTAGAAAAATGGTGAAACCCTAAATTATCTTAGGCTTCTAAAATTCTATTAAAAGAGAGCAGCAAGATCTGAATTATTGCAGCCCCGTGTTCTTCCTCCATTTTCTGATGCTGCGGAATACCACAGTTACAGAGTGTACCATCAGATCCAGGAGTGGGAGGGAAATAAACTGCCTCCATTATAATTGGGCTGGGAAATAAGCAACGAAACTATGTACCAATTGCCTAAATGCAGCTCCCCTTTCTCAGAGAAAAGTGGTTTTGGTCATAAATGGGCCTTTTAAAGCCTTATTTTTTAATGGAAGAAAATGGGTCTCAATATTTCAAAATTTGGGCCCCTAAAATTTTTTCCGCGTAAGTTTTTTTCTCAGACCTGACATTTGCCCCCCCCCTTGTTGGTTCCCATATCCGCCCCTGATGAAGGCTGGTGATAGACGTTGTAACTGATTGTTGTTACAACATAATAGTATTAAGCTTATTTAATCAGCAGTCATTTTTGCTCTCTATAAGTAAGACACATATATGAAGGTTAAGATTACATTTTTGATAATGAACATAACATAATCGAACCAGGCCCTGTATAAAGACCAGGGATTTACTTTGCGTTACACTAGTTAACTCAGGAGGATTTATTAATGTAGAAACCTTTTCCTCATTTTTATTGAATTTCATCTTGAAATCCAACATTCTTCAGTTGAACTTCTTCATTTCATTTCTCAATATCACTGTGTGGTTAAGAACACCTTAGTCAAAATTAACAATTTTTTCTTAATACAGGGTGAGCCAAAAAGGTAACCCAAACAAATCTTAATAATCCAGTCCAATCATCCTGCATGGATTTAGTGTCATATTTGGCAGAATTGAGTCTTGGTCAATGTATTATCAATCTACCCAGTCTCAGTGGTCTCTAGTGGTCACGATTTTATGGCCATTTTATACCATGCCATGAAATATGGGTGTCATGCCTGGAGGCCAACTTGAACGTATCGTGCGTTGTTGTTCAAATCAGGAGCATAAAAATCATGTGTTATGACTCTCATCTTCATTCTTATCTCTTGTTTTAATGTTTCAAGTGTTGTTAGTATCGAAAAAAGGTCCACAGATAAAAAAAAAAACTGGTGGTATTGATGTCCAGTCAGTTAGGCACATTTCAATATTTTGAGCACATTTTGTAAATGGCCATAAAATCGTGACTATTAAGGATAGATCAATGACACTTAGTAGAATGAAAGAACATTGAACAAGGTAATTGTGCCAAATATGATTTCAAACCCATGCTGAATGACTGGGTTATTAACAAACATTTGGTTGGGTTACCTTTTTTGGCTCATATTAATAAACTGATGTCAGGGACAGGGATATTTAACATTTTGTTGCCTTTTCAAGGACACTTTTTGACCACTGATTGTAACAAATCGTTCTCTGTTTTACCAGAAAAGGTATATCATATATCAAATTGAATTTAAAAGGAAAAAACATTTGATAATTTAACAGTTATCAACTAAAAGTAGGGCTTACCCTA